CCCACCATCGAACCCAGACAGATCACTCGCCTTGGTCCCTTCTGATGTTAATGAATGAGTACCACTCTGTGGGAAGAAAAAGGATTACAGACTACACTAGCCAAATAGCTACCGTCGACTATGCCGTTAAAATAAAGCATTCTTGGAGGCTGATGACATGGATATGAGGAAAAGCGCTTCTCCATTAACTTCATAGATGAAATTACGCCAGATATGGCTTCATCATGAAAGTATATGGAACAGCCACGCTCCTTTCCGCTTCATCCCCCACCTTGCTTTGAAGAAAGCTATAAGATACACGAAAGTCGAGACTTTGACATTGGTTTATCACCTGTTAGGCTAGGCGCATTCCGCTTTGTAACAAAAACACTTAGTGAGCTGTTTTCTCGGTATAACTAGTAATGCACGAAAAAAAACACTTCATCTTTAGAATAGAAAATGTTGTAATAATGCAAAATTAAGGGAGGTTCACGTCAACATTGCTTCCAATATGCCGTTTATCTCTTGGTTCCACTACTCCTATAATCCTAAATGTTCATTTAAGTATGATTAATACCTTCAGCACGATATCACAGCATTTTTCGAGGTAGCAGATGTAGCGCAAAGGGAAGTCAGTATCAGCCGAAACCATTGCTGCCGGACTGTCGACCGCAGCGATGCCGGTCTTTCGCATAAATTCATCCGTCACCTGAATTACGCCATAACTTTACAACAAAAGTAACAATGATATAGCATAAGAAGAAAGAAAATGGTACACTCTAATTAATAATCTGCCGGCAGACAAACAACGGAGACCTACTTCATTCCTTGTACCAGCGGTGTGTCATCACGGTAATTGCTCAACCATCCGTTCCCTACAGAATCCAGACCTAGCAACATAGTAACTCGTTTCGCTTTAAGTTGCGACGATGAAGCAGAAACTAGCTTTAGTAAGAGGTTCTGAATCACATCTTCTGTGCTCTTTCACAACAGCATTGCCGCCAGAACTTTTCTGAGCTCCCATACACATGCAAATGAACAAAAGATTGAAAAATGAGAAAAGTCCACTTCAGAAGCGACAATCAAACTATATGACTTGTTCTAGGTGATTACCAAAGTGTGAAAATAAACTAATGGTAAGACCTTCGGTGTTCAACGTGGTGAAAGTTCATAGCAGATCTGGCACTTAGCTGCTACCGAAATATGTCAGGTATGGAGAATAATAAATACAGATCTCTGTTCAAAACAGTAACGGTTTTCCATCAGTCAGTTTTCAGAACCCGATAATACTTCTAAAGTCGATCTGCAATGACCTTACTGACTTCTTCGAAGATTTCCTAAAGTACTTTTCGAGATCTGCGTTTTGTCCCACTCACAGAGTTAAATGACAGCGCAGAAGACTCCCACTAACAAATAACACTGAAAAAGCATAGCAGTTTTTGAC